CTCTGGTGCGGCCGCCATTTCACGAGCGGGTTGCATCACCGGAGTAGCGATCAGTAAACTTGAATACTAGGGTAGCGATATGCGCTTACAATACTCGGCCGTGATTGGTTGTTTGAGACTGATTCTTATAGTGGGTGTAATTGGTAGCAGCTGTGTGTGATAAGTTTCAGGTGAGCTTGTGATTAGCGCAATGGAGCATGGGAAATGTAGTCCAGGGTGTGATGTGTAATAGTCTGTGTGGTGTGAGAGTCAATATAATGGGAGGGCGACCTCTGGTGGCAAGTGGATGGAAGTTCATGGACAGGATTCGTGACAGAGGGGGTCAGTGACTTCAAGGAGAGGGAGAGAGACTAAACTATGTCCTTTTGATCTATACAGTATGCACTGTGAAGTACAGTATATCATTACTGTGTTAGCACTGCCTCTGGGACTGTAAACTTATCTGCCTATCTCACTCTGTGCCTTTTAAATATCCCCTGAATCATAAACCATGTGTGCCAGTTAATTTATCATTCGATCTGTCTTTATCTGTGCAGGTGCTGGGAACTGAGTGCAGGAAACATCAAATGGATCTACCAGGTCCCCATTCTGACAGCCATCGGGGTGAGTAAAAGTGACGTGAAAAACAGTCTGGCTCTTAATAAACACAGCGTGAGAACCAAGTGATAGACTGGGAAATAGTTCAAAGACTGAGGCAATTTTCCCTGAGGAGGGAGAAATTGTCTAACTTTACCTAAACTTTTCTCTTTTCTGTTATTCACCACTGCAAGATGAAAAGCATTTTGGCAAAGGCAAATGTCAGAAGAACTGGCAAGAACATTACCATAGTTACAACTTGTATGTATGTGTTTCTGCCAGTTCTGCCAATTATTGGATGCAGACAATAACATGATTCAGACATGGGCACAGTCAGGAGAGCCCGAATCGTCTCAGTGGGGGTGCCAAAATGTTAACCTCACTTCTCCTTTCTAGTTCATTATGTTCATTTAAAAACAATCTGAGGCTGAATTTAAAAACGGGATGTATCACGTTCAATCTGAAGTGATGGTTTACAGCTGCTGGTTTAACTATTCAGACAGTCAACCACCAAGCCATGCATACAGATAAGTGATGCACAGTGGCCCCCCAAAATATTTGAACATTTAAAAGTTACACTTAAAAATAATGCCATTGCGTCAGATTTAAAAAATATCATACCAAGTGTCAACTCTATAGCTTTTCTCATAAATAATTTTCTTGCTGGTTTTGATCTGAAAAGGTGTTTTAGTTGATGTATGTAATAAGTTCTCCTCAAGTTCACCGGTGTCCTATCAGAGTAACCATAGTATGGGTCAGGGGTGGGGAATGGCGGTCCTGGAGAGCCACCGTCCTGCAGTGTTTTGCTCCAACCCTGATAAAAACTCACCTGCCTGTAGCTTTCTAGTAACACCTTCAGACCTTGATTAGCTTGTTTATGTGTGTTTGATTAGGGTTGGAGCTGAACTCTGCAGGTCTGTGGCTCTCCAGGGCCGACATTCGCCACCCCAGCAGTTCTTCTGCTCTTTTTCTCTTTTTCTAATGCACTGACATTCGTACATTTTAATTTTACTTAAATGTCCAAATATTTTTGGGTTCACTGTATAAACAAAATATGAGCTGGAATTGAAATATTCAGGTATTATCAACAGCGTTTTATACAGTGTGTGTGTACATATATATATATATATATATATATATATATATATATATATATATAATTTAAAAAAAAA